TGTGATTTGTTGCCTTTCTCTAATAGCTTTTAAGATTTTGTCCCTGTGATGGACTTTTGGAATTTTAAGTATAATGTGGCATGGAGAGGTTCTCTTTTGGTGATGGCTGTTTGGTGTTCTGTGTGCCTCACTTATCAGTATGTTTATTTCTTTTACTAAATACATGGTACCTGTCTTATATCTCCTGTCTTTTTGAAGGGTCTTTCTGCTAGATATAGAATTTTGGGCTAACTTTTTTCCTTGAACACTTGAAGGTTGTTACTCTATACCAGTGCTGGCAAACCTTATATAGCTTTCAGTGATAACAAACGTGTATAGGTTCGCCAGTCCCACTGTATAGTTTCTGGTTTCTGACAAGAAGTCTTCTGTAATTCTTATCCTTGTTTCTTTGAAGATATTTTATTCTGCTTATGCTGCCATAACAAAAGACCACAGACTACATGGCTTAACCAACTGAAATTCATTTTCTCAATAGTGTAGAGGCTAGAAAGTTCAGGATCAGGGTGCTAGTATGGTTGAGTTTCGGAAAGGGCTGTGATTACTTCCCCACAGCCTTGTTGTCATTGTATCCTCACGTTATCTTTCCTTGCTGCATGTGTGTGAAAAGAGAGAGAGTGCAAGAGCTCTCTTCATATAAGGACATCAGCCTTACCTAGTCAGAGCCCTAATCCTTGTCCCTAACCTGCCTATTCCTTAGTGGCCTCCATCCAAATACAGCCACACTAGGGATTAGAGTTTTAACATCAGAACTTTGGTGGGGACACATTTAGTCCATAACAGAAGGTAGGTAATATGAGTTTTTTCCCCACCCGCTTTCAAGACTTCAGCTTTATTATCTTTTTTAATACGATCCTGGTATGGTTTGTTAGTTGCTTTGCTTACTTTGCTTAGTAATCTTCTTGGATATATGGTTTTGTAGTTTGTCACTAATTTGGGAATATGTTTACCTATTGTTTTTTCAGCTATTTTATCTGTCCCCTTCTTTTTATTTTCTCTGGATTTTCAATTACACCAGTGTTACAATGTTTCCTATTATTCCATAGATCTCTGGTACACTATTTTTCAATCTTTTGTTTTTTACTTTTCAGTTTGTGTATTTTCATTGTCCTATTTTTCTGATACTGAATTCTTTCTTTAGATGTTTTATCTAGTGTTAAGCCCATTGAAAGCCCTCTTCATTCTGTTAATGTGTATTTTTTATTTCTAGTATTGTTATTTTAAATCTCCTAGTTTTCATGTTCTGCTAAAATTATTTATGTAATATAGCATGATATCTCTTCTTTCCATTAGAGCCCCTACCATTATTGTCATAGTTACTTAAAATTCTCTCCCTAATAGTTCCATTATGTATGTTATGTCTGTGCCTGATTTTGATGATTGCCTTACATTTTCAGACTACATTTAGTTGTCTTTTGGTGTGTTGTACAATTTTTTTTTTGAAAGCCAGACATTTTTGTTCGGACAATAGAAACTGAGGTAAAAAGGCCTTTATTGTAGAGATTTGTGTTAATGTAGCCAGGAATTATGCTGTGTTTGAAGTTTACTGTTGCCATGGTTACCACTGTTGGGTTTGTAGTTGCTATTGGCACCAAAGACTTCAATTTCCTCCAGTGACTTTGTTTTTATATATACTTTTTTCTTTTCTTGGTGGTGGGTATCTTCCTATTGTGCTGCTTTCCAAAGATCCCCCCTTTCTGATGGCTCTCCCAGATGTAACCCACTGCTATTTCTGGAGGTGTGTGTAAGTGTGCCGGTAAGGCGTAGATAAGGGGAAGTTTTCCATTTGGATTTTTAGTGTTTGTCATCCACAGCTTTGGTCACTCACAAGAATTTCTGTTCCTACTCTCATGGTAGAACTTCTTCCTGTACCCTTCCCTTTTTTAGGGGCAGTGGTTATCCACCACTCCCTTAGTCTAGGACTGTAAAACCCTTCCCTGCTCTTGTCAGGTGAAATAGGGCAGTCTTGTTTGGGCCGAGTTTTCTGAGTGCCAGTCCCCAGCACTGTGCTGTTCCTCCAGTGCTCTCAGATGGACCACACAGGTGGAGCCCCCAGTCCCCCAAGGAGAGCAGCCTACACAGATGTTTCAGTTGCTACTGTTCCTCTCTCCCAGCCAGAACAGTGGTCAGAACTGTCTCGGGATTCTCCCTGATCCTCTTTGAAAGGCTGATGGAGTTGCTAGAGGAAAAGCCTGCAAAAGGGTGGGAACCACCTCCAAGAGCTTTTTTCTCACACTTATACTCTGAGCTTCTAACAGTTCACCAGAATTTCTAGTTTGATTGTCTTACTAGCTCATGTGGTGTCTGGTGGTTTCTGCCTCAGCAAATGGCTTGGGTTTCAGGTCCAGATTTGGGGATGGCTTCCTGTCTCTTACCAGTTTGCAAAAAGAACATGAATTTGCTCTGTCCAGCTATTGACTGGTTAAAGAGACTGTTTTATTTCTCTCAGTATACCAAACCCAAACCTTTCCTTTTTAAGAATGTCCATAGAAATAGAGAAAGAAATTTGTTACATAACTAATTTCCATTTAGTCAGTTGTTGCTATCTAACTGAGATCAATGCATTTATAAACTGGCTGTACTTAAGCCTTCGAAAGGAGCTTTAAAATATAAAATGCATATGGCAGTTGCTTTTTTTTAAATTAAGGTTATTAAGTTTATTATTATTAAGTTTTTTCATTAAGTTATAATACAGTTTCATTCATCACTGGGACCTTGTATCTTTACATGGTGTATCTTGGTTTTCATTTTTTCTACATTCCCTGTCCCCCTATTTAAAAAACGTTACTCTTTGGTAACATGGGGATTGTTTATGACCTTGACAAGAATGCTTCCAGCAGTGTTCTGTGAAAGAGGCTGCTTTCAAATGGGCTAAGGGGGGAATGGATGAGGAATAGAGACCATGGGTGTGGGTAGCAGTCACATGGGATCAAAGAGGGATTTTAATTTTTAGGGTCGTGGTGGTGATTATTTTTTGTTTTTTTCCTGTTTGTTTGCTTTCATTTGTTTTTGTTTATTTTAAAGATGGGAGAAATGAGCACGTGTTTACATACTGATGAGAATGAGTCATCATAGTGAGGGAGAAATTAGTTTTGGGACAGTGTTGACTGCTCTGGACTCTTCTTCACATAGCTGAAATTCCTGATCCTCTTGAGGCATAGTAGTAGGTGGTATAGACATATATAAAAGACATATATATATAGACATATATAAAAGAGTCACTTTTTGTATATCATTTGTGCTTGTATAGAACATAAGTCAGAGAGAAACCCACATTCAGTTTCACCTTCTTAGCATGAGTGAACTATATGCTTTATGAAATCCTAGCATCTAGATCCCCAAAGTGCAACCTCAAAACAGACAGCAGTATATTATGTCATCATCACAGGAAATTGTGGATGCGGCTGTAGAGTTTTATGGACAAGGAAATGGAAAACATGGTGATGGTAATGAAATACAACCACCCTATTAAGGAATCCTTAACCGAGGGAGGAAATACACACTTAAATGTCTATAAGAATACAGAAATATGACTCAAGCAAATCTCTTATTAAATGTTTTTTTATTTTTTCCCCCATAATCCATTTGAAATTGGCCATCCTTTTGGTGCTTAGAACACCAAACACAGAGTTAGACTTCTAGGAGGATGGACCATAACCTACATGTGTATGTGAACAGTCTTGTAGCTGAGCCTCTCCAAAGGGCGGTATCTGGGTTCAATTTCTGCCTGCAAATTGCAGCTGCTGCCTTGATGCTACCAGGAATTTCAGTGGACGTGGAAACACCCCATTTCTCTGCTTTCCTCTTCACTTAACCCTCAGCTTCCTTTTATCACTATGAGAAAACCTATTGTAAACATTTTTATTTTTGGCTGTTCTGTTCAACAAGTATGTCAAGTGCCTGGAATAAAAATCATAAAGGTAGTTTTGGCTTACTGCTTTGGAGAATGTGGACATTTCATTTTTCAGGAACTTGTGTAGAAATGGGTTTTTGCATGGGAAATTTAGAGTGAGTCTCCCTTTCAAATTAGAAACGTTATGTCCCCAAGTCCTCCCTTTTAAATCATTTTCCTTGTTTGCCAAAGTCTCACTCATCATGTTAAGTAGCTTGTGAAATCAGCCAGTTTTTATCACTGCCTTTTTCTTAACATGAAATTATGGGAAGTAAAGAAAAAGAAACTTAAATGTTTTTGTACTTACACTCCAGAGAGTAAAGAGAGTACCTCTGTGAAGGCAGTCTACATCTGCTTTTGCTCTTGCTTTGCCTAGTATATGTCACTTGTTACCAGTCACCTTTTCTTTTTTCTCTTACCTTTATTATAGGCTGTTTTAATTAAAAATAAATAAGTGGACTGGGATTTAGCTCAGTGGTGCCACTGCCTGCCTTGCAAGCTCAAGGTCCCAAGTTCAATCCCCTGAACAGGGAAAAAAAAAAAAGTAAACAAGTTTTGTCTTCTTTCTCAGACACAGCCTTCAGGAGTGGGTTTTTTTCTGAGAGGAACAGGGAAGCTTAATGATGATCAAGTACTTCTAGCTTACTTTTGAATGTATTGTTCATCACCTAAAAAAGAAATCAGTAAGCATGTTCTTCTATACTTTTAAGGGAGTATCTTTACATGTGAACTGCATTATTTATATATAAATATCTACTTCATAATATAAGTAAAGGGACTACATTTCTGATTTTTCCGTAATAATGAGGAAAAACTCATGGTGGTTGTTCTGACTAGAGGTTTTACTTTAGTACAAAAACTTTTTGTACTTTCAGTACAAAAACAAACAGAAATGCACATAACCCTGATTCTTGTGGGGCTCATAACCAACATTTTTGGACCCTCTTAGCAAAATAGTTTCTTTTGTTTTTTTTTTTTTTAAAGCTCCGTTATAATGATTAACACACCATATAGTGGTTACATGTTCAAATTAAATACACTAGCTTTTTGTCCAATTGAAATTCATTAGTTTTACAATTGTGGCATTTTTACTTCATTATTTTTTTTCCAGCAAGAATTAGAGAAACAGAAAAGAATGAAGAGGAACAGAGAGCTGGAAGCAGCAGCCAAAGATCATTATAAAAATGTCTTGCTAAGGAAAAAAGGTCTGGAGCCTTGGAAGAAATTGAGACAACAAAGCAGGCAAAACATCCAGGTACAATGTCACACTGCTACCACCCCAAAATTAGAAAATGGACTTTTCCAAATAGCACAAACATTCAAGTGTTGAGGGGAGTTTGGTGATTTAAAAGCCCTAAAAATAAATTATTTGATGTGTATATTTCTTTGTTTTGGAAGAGTTTAGGTTTGGTCTTTAAACACTTTCATAATTTAACAAGTTGGAAAAAGCTAGAGTAAATTTTGAATTGGAGCTGTCAAAGGTAAAATGAAAGAAGTTTCTCTCAATTTTAGCATTGCTTAAAAAGCAGAAAAGTCACAGGTTTTAGGTTTCTGCTGTGATAAAGTTGAATAACAAACAACTCCTAAATATCAGACTTAAGTATAACTGAAGTATTTGAGTATACTCAGGTATTTATTTCTCACATATATGCAGGCCAGTTGTGAATTAGGTTTTGCTCTCTTCCCAAGGCCTCTTTGTGGGTCCAGTAGGTACTCAGGGCATGCATCTCACCCAGCAACTGATGTAAACCCAGAGAAAGCCTCCAGAGTCCACTGATATTTTATTGAACAAAGCAAAAGAAGGAGGCACTGTGAAATCACGTCACAAAGAGTATTAGGTATAATTCCATTATAGACAGCAGTATGCACCCTATAATACAGAGATATATGAAATCAAACACCATTTCAACTTCTGAAAGTTCCCCACAAATTTATCTACTGCATAGATCGAGATAATCAAGTAAAGCATCAAGAAGTACAAAACAGATGAAATGTTATCTTGCCTTTTGGCTTCCAGGCTGGTCTGTGCCACAGTCTTCCATAATGGTCATTTTGGCCAGTAACTATGACTTTTAAGAGGTTTTCTTGGATCAGTTGTAAACACAATGCCAAATGGCTAGACAAGACCTAGGAAAGTGTATCATTGTCTGGAGAGGACTAAGAAGAGTTCCCTCTCCTCCTTTCTCTTCAAAGAATGTAAACTCGGAATTGTATATTTTGGTAGAATGATACTGTTACCCTTTTAAGTTCATAAGACATTAAATTATTCATGTTATTTTTCTACCAATGGTTTTGTGGTCTATCAGTATTATCTGCATTTCAATGCTAGTGACAGTTGGTTCTACAAAACTAATGGAAAGTATCGGCATTTCCTCAGTTGACAGAGGTTAAGTGCATAACAAAGGGAGGGCTGCTGTGCTGCTGTTGTCCAAATTGTGGGACAAAATAAAGAAATTCCAAATTCCAGGATCCAAGAATGTTGCCAGACACCCACTTCAAAACTCAGTGGAAGTGAAGAGGTGGCTTTGGAGGTTGCTATTCCATTTACCAGAACCACCCAGTCATTATGATCTTCAGGGAGTCAGTGCTGAGAGGCCATGCATGGTTTCACTCTATAACCTCCAATACCGGCCCATGATCAGTGCTTTGAGGATGCAGAACTGTACACACTTAAGATTCTTCTTCCCTAATAACTGCCTAAATGTGATACACAGCATTGTTTGGCCGGCTGACAGGTGTTTTCTTACAAGATTTTAAAGTTAAAGACTAATTTCCTTTTTCTCATTAAAAAAACCCATAGGTGGCAGAAAAACATAATTCTTTGGCTTTACAGAGGAAATGTCTGCTGACCTGGTTCCAGTGTAGTCAGGAAAGTTTGGCTAGGAAGACGGCTCAGGCTGATCAGTTTTATTCCCAGCACTTGCTTAGGAGACTCATTCAGAACTGGCTACAGGTAAGGCCACAGGAAGAGCACTTTGAACACATCTCCATTTAATCCTCCACGAGAAAACTAAATGGACTCCAGAATGCCCATGGTCATTACGTTTTTTTCAAGAATAATATCCTGAACCCAATTAATTGCTTTGGAATGAATGTGAAAATGTCAAATTGGTTATTATAAAATTTTAAGTATGTACTTTTTTTATACATTGTATGTGTATACAATGTAATGTATCATATCAGCTTTTTTTTTTTTTATACCAACTGCCTGGTTAATGTCTCACAGTGCTTACATGATTTCATTAGAAACCTACCCCTCACTCTTATACCTACCTGTCTTTACTATTTCTGTCATTTTTATAGTACAACACAAAGGATATTCTCATGGCTGTTATCCTTTTCTCTTTATGCCACCGGTGTCCTTTGTTTTGCATGTTTGTTTCAATTCTTGTTTGTACTATTTATTTGCTCTGATTCTTTGTCTACTGATATTATTCATCTCATTTCTGTTTCTGTCCTTATCCCTAGTATGTGACTGATACGGAGAAAGAAGTAAGAGAACTCTGTGTACATTTTCTAAAGAAGAAGATTTTTAGGTCCTGGTTTATCCTGGTCAGAGAGCTGAAAACAGACTCTCAGAGCAAGCACGTGATTGCAGTGAAACATTGTGACAGGTAAGGTTTTCATCCCTAAGAACTCACAGATTCCCTACCTTCACAATCGCTCTGCAGCATAGTCTACCCCTGGGATGTGTCTGAAAGGACGAGGTGGAAAGTTGGTGAGCAGGACTCCTGGAAACACCGGATAGAGTAGGAGTTCCAGCTTGCAATTCATAACATGGGGTAAGGGCAAGATGGTAAAGCCCCTGGGTGCCAGAGTCCCTGTCTTTAAAGTGAAGAGGAGGAGGCCCACCTGTTTACCTCACAGGCACTGCCAATGGGAGTAAGTGTGTTGAATACATGAAGCACACCTATGGGAATTACTCTTTTTATTAATCATATAGTTTTATTTTTTTCAGCTTTTAAAAAACATTTATTGTGAAATATAACACAAAAACAGTTTAGATGAATTATTAAAAGTAGGCACCCATGTTACCATAGGCTGGTGGAACATCTCTACCCCAGGGGCTTTTTCTCAGGCACAGGTCCTTCCTGCAGGTAAACTGTCCTCCTGACTTATACAGGGAACACTTCCCTGCTCTTTTCGCTTTTCCTAAGTATGCAGCTTCAGTGCTATAATTGTTTAGCTTTGTTTTTAATTTTACATATATGGAATCATTGTATTAGTATTTAAAATAGTTATATCTTATTAAATCCAGCGTCGGGAAATAAGCTAGTCCATATAAGTAAGGTTTTTCTTTGTTTTCTAATTTTAATCATTTTGGACAGAAATGTTTTAAATGTCATTGTGACTTCCCTTAGAGAGTAAACAATTCTGTCCCTCTTCTGGTGATCTGGTGTTATTCCTTCTGAACATCACTTAGTGTGGTGGGTAATTTTGGCAATAACTCTGGCTTGAGACGTGAAGGCTGCTGTGACATGTAGAAGTGCCCTTTTCTCACTATCCACGGATTTCTTTTTGGTCACTTTGTTTTCATACGCATGTGCCACACACACATCTCTGCTCTATATAATAGTTTTCTTTTCTTGGGATACTAGGATGCCCACTCCTAGCAAAAACGGATTGTCCTTCTTTTGTTTACAGACACTAGAAATTGGTGGGTTGGTAACAGATAAACAAGTTGATTATAATTCTGTCTAAATTAAAATAAATATGCAGAAAGTCAGGGTGTTCAGAGGACTTGCCTTTGAATGAAATGCTTCAGCTTTAAAACTTGGAGGCAAGGACTACTCAATAATAGTATCCGTATGACCTGGCCACATAACCTTTTGAAGTCTCTCTGCTCTGACAAGTTAGGATAGCGACAGAACCTATCTTAGGGGCTTGTTGTGAAGACTAAACATATTAATATACTTAACGCAGTGCTCAGCTCAAAGGAATAGCTAACATTGTTCTAGTATATTATTAAACATCCTTTTTACGTACCTTTACTTTCTGTTAGCCCCATAAACAGACTGAGCTTCATTGAGGCTTTGACACAAACCATCTTATCTGATCACAGTGCACCCAGGGGTAGGGGACAGACATGATTTCCATTTTCTGGCAAGGAAACATAGGTGAACTGCCTCAGATGTACCAATAATAGCAGCTCCCTGTTATACCAAGTCTTCTGGATGCAAAACATCCTCTTCTTAGTGTATCAATCCTTCTCTCATCGTCTTCATCATTCACAAACTATAAACTGTAGTAGTAAGATAGTGTTCCTATTCAGGGTTTGAAGTTAGAAAACAGATACAAGAATTCATGCAATCAAATAAAATTATAGCCAGTGTCTGCTTGATTAAAAGAAATGAATTCTGCCAATAAACTCAAAGCTGAAAAAAAAAAAAAAGAAATGAATTCTGTGACTTTGTCTCTTCTGTTTGCTCCTTGCCCACCATGTTCCTGCCCCACTGGCCTCCTGTCTTATTCCTCAGACATACAAGGCTTATTTCTGCTTCAGGATATTTGCATGGCCTGATCTTTCATGTCAGTCAGCTCTCATTAGCCTACCTCAGTCAGTGCCTATCCATTAGTCTGCCCTATATTTTCCAACGCAGGGGGCAGAGCCTTTCAGTGGGGTAGAACAGTAGGAACTAAAATGCACTAGTTAGAAAATAAGTATAGCTAGAAAGACAAGATGAACAGCAGGTAAGAGTGGGAGGTAGGGTCAAGGACTGGGAGTGGATTCTACAGACAAATTCAGGAAGCTGTAAACCATGGACTGAATAAATAAATATTGAAATCAATGAAGCAGTTCCAGTCCTTGGAGCCTTTTTTTTCCTAAGTAAGACTTCCACCCACAAAAATCAACATTATCTGAAACATGAAACAACCAACAGCCATAAAATCAAGGAGGACTGAGCTGCATCTAGAGCTTTCATTAGCTGGTTAAGAGGCCAGAACAAATCTCATCCCTGTATCTAGACCCAAGTGCTCTGTACTTTTGTTTCAACAATGTAACTCCACTTGTAATTCTTCACACACTCTATGGTACTCTTGCTTCTACCCTCAAGTCATGCCCTCTTCTGGGAAAGCCTTTTCTTAGCCTCACTGAAATTCAACATAGACATTATATGCTTAAGAAACCTAGGCCTGCTCACCCCAGCCTAGGTGCTTCTCTCTGCCACTGTCCCTTCCCACTGTACTGAGACTATTTGGTTTGACTGCTGCCTTGGGCATACCTGTGAGGCTCACCTTGACATCCCTACCTCCCCCAAGAGCAGGCCCTGGTAAATCCTCAAAGGCCACCGTGCTTCCCTGTGACTGAAGGGATGCGCAGTTCCACTACGCCGTCCTCCGTCATCGTGCTTCCAGTTGGATGGTAGAGTGTTTGTTCTCAACCAAAGTTAGACTGACTTGCTGTTGGCGGTGAGATTACCAGCAAGCTTTTCACATGTGTCCTTGATGCTAGCGATTCTGGCACACAGTTCATGGCAGTTTTCTGTTATCTTTTGCTGTAAGGACTATGGTTGCCCAGTATCAGTGGTCCTAGTTTGAGCACAGTATACAGGCTGTGATCAGATCAGCCAATGAGTATCTCATAAACTGTAGTATCAAGGGCACTGGAGGCCCTGCTCAAATTCAGTCTTGTGAGAGACTTTCCTCACCACTTACGGAAAATGTCAGTCTCGTCGTTTTCTTTATAGCACTTTCTTTTTCTTTTCTTTTTTATGGTTTTTTGAGACAGGGTCTCACTATGTAATTGAGACTGACCTGGAACTATGTAGCCCAAGCTGTCTCAACCTCACAGCGATCCTACTGCCTCAGCCTCCTGAGTGCTGAGATTATAAGCATGTGCCACCTCGTCCAGCTCTTCATAGCATTATCCAGTGTCTGAAACCCAGTTGTGTTTTCCACGCTCTTTATATGTTTTATTCAGAATTATTTTAATAAAAATTATAATTACTTCACCTGGAAAGCTAACTTTTCCTAGTATTTCACTTTTTCCCTCCCTCTCCCCTCTTTGTTCTTAAAGGAAGACTCTCAGCCTCATACTTCAGACATGGAAGAAGTTTGTAAAATCGATGAAAGAGGAAAGAGTAAAAGAAGAAAGGCGAGAGCAGCTCCGCAGAAGGGTAGCAGAAATTCTTCCAGACTTCAGATGCTGGCACCCTTGTGACTGTGCTTACACAGCCATCAGATCCTTGGCCTTGGGTAATACGTTTGATACACCAGTTAACACAGACCAACACAGTACTTAGGGTGGGAACCTTGATGGGCTCAGGGTGTGTATACCTTATCTCGTTCTACGTGAACACATGCTTGTAGGTGGTTTATTTTCTGAGCTACTTCTTAGGCCACAGGAATTACTTTGGGAATTTGTACTTGCTTCTTTGATTTCGCTTGAGTTGCTGGTATTCACTCTAGCATTCATTTATCACAGTGGGATCACCCACAGTAGTGAGCACCACTATTCAAATGTATATTATGTATTTTTAGCATAGTAAACTTTATAAAAGACAAGTGATGGCCTGCCTGAATTTGTGAAGTAAAGTACGTGTCCCTGTGGCTTAATGTGAGTTAAGTAAGACTTAGAATACACAGTAGTACTTAGAAAGAGGGATAGCATGGCTACTTACAAGAGGGCCAGTATGCTAGTACCTCAGCATTAAGCATCCCACAGAGCCAGAACTTTTGGCCACTTCTGATGGCAAACCATGTATCAGAAGCTACTCTACACAGCTGCTGTCAAGAGTGGTTACTTAGATTTCAAATAGGCACCAAAGATACTGCATATGAAGGAAACCTCAAAAGCTAGTAACTCTATCAAAGACAGTAAGTCATTAAAATACCTAAGCTACAACTTCTAAATCATCTGCTTGATTTGTCTTCATGAGTTTGATCTAGATATTGAGATACTTATCTTGAACTGAAAAAGTTTTAATATTTAAAGTGCTATAAAGACTGATAAAATGCTCTCTTCTGTAAATTGTCTTGAGAGAATGACTTGCTAGGAAAATAATTTTTTCATTATAAAAAACATGCTTTTTGTAACATATTCAAGTCCATAAATGCACACAGTAAATTGAGAAAGGCCCTTGAAGCCTGGAGGTAACTATTTATGTTACAGATTTGAACTGGTAAAATAAAATTATGCAGTTTTTCAAATAAAGATAGCTGTTCCTGTCTCATATTTCCTAAAAGGAGGACTGCCTTTTCTAACTACCAACAAAATGACTTACACCTTTTTTTCACAGATGTGCAATGAAATAAAAAACACCCACACTGAACTTTACTTTTCCAGTAATCTTCCCCAACATACATCTTTTCTTTGATATTGCTGGCATCTAAAAACTCAAGTGTCTTTAAGACTAATGGTCACTAAAGAAAATGAGACTAAAAGTAATTCATACTGAATCTCTTTCCAGCTAAACCACTGTTTATACTTAAGTATAGTACAAATGCAGAATACTGGCTGATATTACCACCTAAAAACCAAGTACAATATTAATGCCAGTCCTGCAGACAAGAAACAGTGAATTACTTAAGTAAACATTTTATGGGCTTAAATAAATCTGAAGTTTTATTTTGGCCTCACCTCAGGTATCTTTGGCAGTCCATTCTGATTGGGCCAGCTAGATTTTTTACCTACTTCTAGAACCTTCTCAAGAGATACAAGAAAAATAATTTTGATGCTCTTTCTGGACAATCATGAAGATGTGCTTTGAAATGTTATTCCTAACACAATGCCTGAATTAGCAGTATCCTGATCCACAAAACTAGAAAAAATAACTACCAGAAAATCAAATTTTAGGGCCACTGGCAGGCCCACAGGATGGAAGTGAAAAGGTAGTCAAAGAGGTAGGATGACAGCTATACTACAGAGTTTTCTTAAAGTAAAAGAACCCAAAAGACATACACCAAGAAACACCAACTATCTTCCTTAAAGAAAGCACTTTATTTTCCATTTGAATAACTTGATCACAGGATATTATTTTACACAAGTGGCAGTTATTTGTAAAATCTCCACTTAAAAGGCTTTGTTTCTGAGTCTGAGGTGATAAAAGATTATGAATACAAGTATAAAAAGAGTGCAAAATGTTTAGCCACAGCCTTCAGATTAGCTCTAGAAAACACTTTAATGTTGTCAGGCCAGTTAGATTAAATATTGAATTTAATATTTAGTAATTAAGCCCTAACAACTGAAACCATCAAATCACCCAGACTGTAAGATCACAAGTTGAATTCTCAAGCCCTGTGGTATCCTGTCAGTGGCTCCACCTAAAAAACACACAATTCCAGTTGCTTCAGTAATTAGAACAGCCTAGCTCTGGTTTTAAAGCTTTGACTTTTAAATATGAATTTCTAGAGGTGAAAGGTACTGTCAGGAAGGCTACAGTACTAATAAGTCATGAACCCAACTTGGAAACAGGCATGGCAGCCTCTAAGAAATTTGTCTCAATTAATCGTTAAGTCTTTGGCCTGCTGCTAACACTAAAGTGAAATACTCAGTGCCAGCTAAAGTATGGATAAGTGTGTATTAGAAACAGGATTAAATTTAGCTGATTTCTGCAAAAAGTTTATAGGGAAAGTGGGAAGGGTAGGGAAAAGCTAATAAGGGAAAAGAAAACAATATGGGAAAATGAAAAAATGGAAATGAAGTATTTGTAGAGGGGAGACAGGAGGGGTGAAGAGAGGGTGGGGGCAAAGGGAAAAAATGAGAACCAAAACCTGTCATGTAAAGGTACAAGATCCCAATGATGAATGTAACTGTACTGTATCCCTAAAAGGTACCAATAAACTCAATGAGAGAAAAAAAAGTTTATACTAATCACAGCAACATCCCCAAGAACACACTGAATTTTATTCTTGTTAAGTTTAGCATGGCTTTCATTTGCCCCTGCTTTGCCTATGCAGTGTATAATATAAAATGGCACACTTGTCAAGTTGCTGCTGAGAAAACTAGATTCCCAACAGATCCCTCAAGCAAAAGTCTTTTATCATGCATTGCTTGAGAAAATTCCCCTTTTCAAACTCAATGAGGAAAAAAAAAGTTTATACTAATCACAGCAACATCCCCAAGAACACACTGAATTTTATTCTTGTTAAGTTTAGCATGGCTTTCATTTGCCCCTGCTTTGCCTATGCAGTGTATAATATAAAATGGCACACTTGTCAAGTTGCTGCTGAGAAAACTAGATTCCCAACAGATCCCTCAAGCAAAAGTCTTTTATCATGCATTGCTTGAGAAAATTCCCCTTTTCAAAATCCTGGTTACCAAAATATGGCTAAAATGAAGGTAAGTCATATAAACCTACTTATTTAAAGAGACCCTTAATATCACAAAATATTAATTTTTAAACATCCTAGTGAAAACTGTGCTTGTAGATGTTTTCATTTTGCTTCTATTAGTTTAGCTTTATAATAAAAAGCGAATGTCCTACCCAAAGGAAATTAGTCTATGAAGCAGATGCTCAGTATTACGTAGAATCTTACCGGCATTGTGTTTTCTGGCAGTGAAAGGTTCTAATACAGAAAATTTTCTCTTGCTAAAAATATTAGAAGTACCAAGGACTATTGCATAAGAGAGTTTGTAGCAATCTTTCTTCTAGGCAGATGGTACAGTGGAAGACAACAATAATTTCATTCACCAAAGGAAAACACAAGTTGGGGAACAAAGATCTGCAAAATCCTAAACACAAACACATATGTGGCGGAGGTGAAATAGGCAGCATACTGTCCTGAAAACACATGGAAGGCTTTTCTTTTGCAAGTTAGAGTAACCCAAGAAAAAGGCATTGTGAATTTCAGGAGCACCCAGCTAGAACCAGAGTACTTCGCGGGTTATTTTAAGACTCCTTTTAAATATTAAAGGATTTTTCTCCTTTCATCCAGTCGTGACTTTTAACTATTTCTCCTCTGAATCTTTCAAGCAGACCAGTCTTCCCAAGGACAGTACATAATGGGGTGATAATAACATGGGCATAAGAATGTAATGGAGGTAATTTATTAAGCTCCAGATCCATACGTTTCTGAGCAGAGGCTCAGGATATGGGCCATGGAGAAGGGAACTGGCTCATTTGGAATCACATTGAGGGGAAGGGACTCACATCTATGGCCAAGAGACTTCAGGGAATTTCTCCACTGCCACCATCACCAGATGTTTCTGTGGGACAGTTCATTCAGAGTCCTTGTCTGTTCAAAGATTCCACAGAAGATTCTTCTGCCCTCTGGAGAGAACCAAGCACTATCACAAAATCCCTCAAATAGCTCCAGATCATTAAAAAGGCTCAAAAGTCTAGGGGTCTAGACCAAGGATTTGGCAGAACCTAGAAAAACAATGCACAGATGGCCCCTCCCCTTTTTCTTGGTACAAACACTTCAGAAGCCTCAAAACCAAAAATGTTCAGGTTTGAGCTTTTCTGAAAAGTGCCAATAATGAGTTCTCAAGGAACTTAAAAATAAGCATCATAATTCCAATTGGTCACGATAATATGCACACAGCTGCTATCTAAGCAAGGGAAACTGAGTTGCCATATCCAGCAAACCCTTTAGGGGGACATGTTACAAAGATGGTGAACCTTCCTACTGCTCTCCAATGCCTTTTGTCATTTTATACTACTCAGCATCATATCACATTTGGATTGCTATTAAAGACTTGACTTGGCAAGCTTACAATTCCTACACTAATGTTTCTATAAATTTTTATTATCATTTGCTAGAAGTCAGAGCTGGCTATATAGCTGAAATTCAAGAGATGAAAATTACCAATTTCTGCCTACATATGCTGTCATTGATCTTATTACCATTTCCCTTATCTAAAAGCCTACACAGAGAGAAATTGGGTGCTGTCAGAGCCAACTTTAATTCTAAGTGAATATTTGACTCTGGGCCGAGGAGAGGGCATGACTGTAGAAACCACCGCATCTGCTATCATTCCCAGGCTTACTCCTTGGCTCGTCCCAGTGGAATACAGAGCCTATCATTTGTTAAACAATTCCTCTCTGGGGAGAGCAATAAGCCTGAATAAAAACATGACGACTGTGCTAGGGACAGCGAAACTAGGACTGGTGTTAACTACAGGGAGCAGAAGGGCAGGAAGTAGCAATAGTTCTTCTCAACACTTATGAATCCATTGCTAAAGCAGTATGTACAGAATGATAGAACAAGCTTGCAATGTTTTCCCTGTAGTAAGCAACAGGCCAAGGAAAATTGAAGGATTCATGATCTTTGGGATTGCAGAACAGTACATGTATGAAACCAGCCATTTCAAGAGGATATTTTCCCGCATCTGAAACTCTATGGCAGAATAACCTATTCTATATACATAACCCATTCTATATAAATATGTAATCCTTTATATATTTTCAGTTTTGAGATACAATTAAAGCAACAACTTGTTATTTGGGAAAGGGCAAGAAAAGAATAGTAATCCATTAATCTGTGGAAATTGTACATACCGTTTTTTCTCTCCTGGTGAGATACTTTTATGTAAGGAAGGTGAATGAGAAGTAATGTGCAAGGGAAGTGGGAAGTTGTCAATCAACTCTCCTAAAAAAGTTCATGCCAGAATAATGTGAATGCCACAAGACTGACTTTTTGCAATTTAGTGCTATAAAGTGACAGCATCTGAAATACTTACATGAACAAAAAAATCAAGCCCTTGATATTAATCGGCATCCCTACCCGAGAGAGTAAAGTGTTCCTGTAGGAGGGTGTGTTCTTCCAGCCACCATCACAAGTTGTGCTAGCACCTTACCAAGTGAAACATGGAAAGAGGAAAAAAACATTCATGCCTACCGGATGGAGTTACAGTACATCCAAAACAGCATACAAAGAAATAAACATAAGAACCCATCACCTAAGCTCATGATCACTGAAAAGAATTATCACTCATATTACACTGGTGAGGGTTATCTTTATCCTCATAACCAACTGTCCTTTCAGGGTCAGATGACCAGCTTCACACCTCTAGTCACCTCCTACCCTGTAAGTAGTCTGCATCTAATACTTAAGGAAAAATTCTCACTGCTGTATAACATGGTATATGCTGAAATCTAATGACCCTAATAAACTGGCTTCAATATCCTGACCTGTAGTCTTGGGATTTCTTAATACTTTATACCTCCACGGCTTCCCTCATTTCATAATGCATTTCGCACTTCTCATCCCTCCCGTGACCTTGGCGCTGGCTCTGTGAGGTAGCCAAGGCAGGCATCAGTACCCCTTGTTACAGATGAACCTGAGACTTCGGAAAGTGACTCAACTAAAGGTCATATGGCTATTAATAATTGAAAGAGGGACTAGAAACTATCCTAATCCAGAACTCTTTCCTCCATACTAACGGACAAGAATTGCTTCCATCAATTTGTGCATTAGCAATCCAAATCCTATTCAACTTTTGGTGACTGAATCAATTAATAAAGTGACTGGAAAGAAATGGCTCTACTTTTACTGCTTCAATATAAAAAAAAAACTCTTTAAGTTGTGAAGTCAGAAAAATTAACTTCTCTCCAGTCCAGTCTCCAAACCTGAGCGTGGCCCTAGAATACCTGTAAGAAACTGGGGACAGAGATGAACGTTCTGTGTAGACCCTTAAGTGTAAAATGGAAAGGAGTCAGGGCGGAGCCATCCTCAAGCTGCAGGGCAGGCACTTCAGACGATGTCCTCAGCAGGGTGGTGGAGTGAACGCGTGCCCAGGGTGGAGAACTGGTGCCAGTTCCGCAGGAAGCCCCTATTGTACCGGCCTGTGTCCACAATGAGCCCCCAGAGGAGCCGGCGCCCAGTCTTCTGACGAAGGGCCTGCTGAACCTCCCTCTCCGTCACATTGTAGCTGATGTTTATGAGCTGAATCAGGAAGATGTAGGCCATACCCGCAGTGATGATCACAGAGTACCACACACAGGTGAAGGACAGAGCCGAGCTGCAAACGGGAAAAAGGTGTCAAGGCTGCTGCCATGTTTGTCACATTCACAATGTTGTCACATTCATATATTTGATCCTTTTTTCAGTACTGGGGCTAGAACCCAGAGCCTTCACACTAAGCTGTTACCTGTTTTTATTATTTGAGACAGGATCTAAGTCACTAAATTGTGCAGGCTGGGCTAGAACTTCTGATCCTCCTTCCTCAGCTTCCCAGAATGCTGGTATTTCTTACAAGGGCGTACCACCACACCTGGTCACATTTTTTACCTATTACTGAAGACACAGGTATCTTCTCCATCTCCCTAAACTGGATGATACTTTATCCTCAGAACACCCATCAATAACCAGATTAACAACAACAAAAAGCTACTGTCCAATAAGGACCAGGGATTTAGCTCAGTGGTTCCAGCACCTGCTTTGCAAGTGCAAGGGCCTGAGTTCAATCACCACTACCAAAAAGAAAAAAAAGCCTAGATTAAACAATGTATGTGAGTTAACATGCTATGTTTTATAATTATTGGTACCTACTTTTTTAATATAGGAACAGCAAGGGCTGGTTTTTACACTTTGTATCCTCTACACAACCAGCATTCCACCTAATATAACAGTACTGAACATATTTGGTGAATGAGTAAACCCTAACTGTACCTAATTTATGAGAAAACAAAGATACCAAGAGATAGCTATAAATAGTCCCTAGGAACCCAATGGCAGGACCTAGGAATAGCATTAATGTTTTAATTTCCTTTCTATTTCAGTCCAATGCTGATGAACACAAAGATGATGGCAACTCCCAACACTAGAAGCCCTTTATCTACTTAGGAGATCTGTAGGAAACCGTAACATTTCAAACTAGCTACCTAAAACCAGATTAGTAGAGGACAGGAAAGATCCTGCCAGGCTCGATAATGAGACTTGTGTGGAAGGCCTGCTGATTAGCACCTGCCATATCATTATAGTCACTCAAACATTTACAAATGAAGTTGGTTGGAAATAAATCCATTTGTAAAACTGAAAGAGACTGTACATCCCATAACCAATATATAGATGAAGGTGCCATGAATCCTTTGCACAGGGAGAGTAGAACCACGATTTCAGTTCATTTAGGCCAATGATTGCTGACAGTGCTGGCCAATAATTTCACAACCAACTAGACTCTCCACAAATCTAGAAAAGAACTTTATCCCCAGGAGGAAGACCAGTGTATTTTAACAATGCCATAAACGTCCTGGTCTAAAAGGGCAATGAAAAGATCTGTCAATAGACTAATGAAAACAAATACCACCCAGGGGAACTAGGTAAAGACAGCAGGGATGGTTCTAAACATGAAGAGCACAAAAAAGAAAGACTGAGTCACAGATACCACAGAGCACCCATGTCAGAGAAGAGTGGAGGAAAGGGAATAAAGAACATGGGTGAGTGCAGGGGCCTGTCAAGAGTAGGGGCAGCCAGGCCATTTCTGTGAATCCCAGCTTTTGTGATTTCATAGGAATCTTCACAAAACACAATTGGGCCCCCACCTACCAGTGCCCAGGAAATCTGACCTAGATACCACAGCAATCATGAGGGGTGGTTAAAAAAGAAAAAGTAAAACAGAAAAAAACATGACAGGTAAGAAAGAAACAAAGGTTATAGAGAAGATGAGCACTTCTCAAAGGGCTATGTTGCTACCTTGGCACACAAATAGTCGTCTGACTCTGGATTTCTCCCCAGTGAAGCTTGGGCCTGTTTGTAAAGTACAGAGTCCTCATTTTTTTAATGGTCAATGATCTTTATGTTATCATCCTGGAAAAATGCACATAATCATTGCACAATTTTGTTGGCAGTTTTAGGGATACCCAGCACCTGTATAGTGGGTCTGCCTAACCTAGCAGTAGGTAACAGCCCCTATCGAGGGCTACCTTTATCACTTTGCTGACTGTAGAATACACATCTCACCTGTAATTTGAATAAACACCAGGACAATAGAAGAGAGCTGTGAAGATGCTTCTATCTCTACAGATGGTATCCAAGGTGAGAGTTACTCCATACACCGAAGTGAGCAAGAAGATCAGAAGGGCAAGTATAAATGCTTGATGATTTGATTCTCCAACGCAGCTATTTATCCTCAAATCAGCATGTGGGAGGAAGCAAACACATTTTTAAAAGATCTTTACATAACTCACATAATGAAGAGGCTTTCAAAACAGGGATACTGTAATAGGAATTTCAGTTATTAAAAAGTAAATTCACTTATTTTTTCAGTGTTAGGGAATTAACAATTTGTCACTGCTCTTTACAGAGTGAAATCCTTATCGTTTAGTTGAAGGATAAGATTAAATAAAAGGTACCGCCTGGCTAACAAATCATATGTATAAATTTGTGTTTATGTGCTGGAGATTAAACTCAGGACCTTATACATGCTTGGCAAGCATTTCTCCTCCAAGCTACATTTCCAGACCCTCTTCCTAAATATTAGTAATACCCAACAATGAAGAGTTATTTTTGTTATCACATGCTAAGGAAGATACACAGAAGACTTATAAAAACTTAAGAAATGATAAAGCTGAGTATTATAGAGCATAGGAAAATATATGTTAACTATATAAGACAAAAATAAAGGGCCCAAATTACAACTATGATGTGGGGTGAAGAACCCAAAGATATGAAGACCACCAGTCTGGTGAAAACAGTCCCATGTCACGGCCATCTGTAGTACAGGCTGTCCCGGTGTTCTCTCAAGCCCCTTATACCTCCAGATGCAGAGAAAGCTTCGTTTAGGAGAGGTCATGAGGCCCTCTGCAAGCCAGGATTTATAAATGGGTCATCACACATGGGAGGCAAAAGAGGTGGAACCCTGCAGTCACCCCATGTCCTCCTGTCCTTCTGTGCACCCTTGCCCTTTCCCATGTCCCCTCCTGAAGGCGGAGGGCATCTATATGCACAACAAGGCATAATTCATTGACCACGAGTGCCTTAAGAGCAACGGTGCTACACACACCATGCTTACAATATTCATGTCTGAATAATGACTCTCCCTTTAGAGTCACTCATTCAAGCTGCAACATTGTCTTTAAATGTGGTTCTAGGTGTCTTCCTTTGTCAGTGGTCAGCTCAAAGTGCAAAAGCTCATCTCTCTACAATAACTGAATAAAAAGTTACCTGGTAGGGCCTCAACTCCCCAAAAGTGGAAGTTACGAGCAGCATCAAACATGATTAAGGATGTTTGGCAAGAGGACAAAAGAGTTGCCTAAAAATACGGAACACTTTCCAGAGCTGTGCATTTAACAGAAATAGCACAGAGAAATACATTCATGATGAGAAGTTATTTTTTAAACAAATCATTCAACTCTATTAGAATGAAGAATAGTTCAAAGAAAAACTGCAAAAAAAAAAAAAAAAACCCCACCCAAAACTTTTTTGCTATTCTCCTTCAGGAAATGACTGAAAGAACTAAATTTGTGAAATCCAAAAAACAGATGACTAAGTGGGAACATCCTAACAGCCCACAAATATCTACAAGGTGTAAAGCTGAGAAGGAGAGAAATTTTAAGATAGCACAGAGATCAAATATGGCTAGAGTTGTATATGAATTTACACTTTCCAGGTCTTCAGATTTTCCCGACATACCACACACAGTGATGATCCATTCTCCTCACACAGATGCCACAGATCCGGCAATGCCATGCGCGGGCTGGTCGCACCAACTGGCACTTGGCACACCAGTCCTCCTTCACCTTGGCGGGGCTTCCTGCCAGCATCCTGGAGGAGCTCTTAAGATCATCCTTCACAGTGCGGCTGTTGAGACTCCCCAAAGTATCTGCTCCAAGGAACCCTTTGGTCTTCTCCTGCCCTTTTTTGTTCAGACATTCAATTTGGCAGCTGCTTAGGGATCTGTCATTGCTTGTGGGATTGCTGAGGTAGCCTGGATTCTTCTTGGCTCTGTACAAGGCAAAGAGTATCAGAAATAACCCGCAGGTAAGAACAGCCAGCCGAGTGGGCCCCACACGCCCTTTGGGAACCACTTCCCGCAGGAATACATAGTACATGTAGCCCAGTGAAAACAGTCCAAGGCTCAGGAAAAACAAAGTCTGTTCTTTCCTTCTGTGGGTGAGGTAGTAGTACCACAGTGCCAGCACAGGAAGGGAGGTCAAAACCACTACCCCCAGGAGGAAATGCCAGGAAGCCACACGCAGGAAGACAGGCAGAAGTACGAGTGGAGGGACGATGCTAACGTTAATTTTTTTGGCTCCTCTAAGCCAAGGAATCCGGAGGCGATCCGAAATTGTATCCATGATTCTTTCACAAGTCTCTGGCTGTACTGATTTACACGTAAACCATCTATTCAGAAAGAGCAGAAAGAAGGCATTTCACATTGGTGTGCTGAATTAAAAACTGTACAACCCTAAATGCTAAACAGAGGAACAAATGATAACTACAGACCAAAGGACAAGCATTATATTTCCTTACTACTAAACATGAGCTTTTCAGATTCATGTATCATTTTTTAATGAGAAAAATATAATCTTTAGAAGTTTAATAGTCAAGATTATTTCTTAAATACATAAATATATATACATGCTGTATATATAATGTTTAGACCTAGGTGGCTGCATGGTCAAAGAATTTTTTAAAAATTCACATCTAGTTGTGCAGACAACATGAGTATTTAAAAAAATACTAGGTAAACTACAAAGCAACAAGAATTATCCAATGAGGACAGCCCACTTTCCGGGGCTTTCTCTCACTAAATTTTTCCTATCTTAAAAAAAAAAAAAATCATCCAATGAATTTTTATGATCAAATAACAGTAATGAGTACTCAGAGGGTGAACATTTCTGGGTGGGCTCATCAGAAGGGTCTTACTGAAAGGGTGCGACCATAAGCTAGCATTCATGTGAGTGGAGAAAAAGAGAGGCACTTCAGTGAAGAGAAATGCGTGCAGCACAAAAGCTCCTTGCACCCAGGAGGTAAACCCCTCTGGCAGCAACGTGGGCCTGCATTAAGGAGGACGGGAGAAAAAAACCAATCTGAGTCAAGTAACTGATTACTGAAAAGAATGGTGTCTGTTGACTTTTTTGCACACTTAGGCTATATTTTAGTCTGAATAATTGTGTTCTTCCCAAAATGTGTACTTTAAAAGCTAATCCCCGATACATTAGAATTGAAAGATGGCACTGCCAGGGACCCACAGTCCCAGCTACTCAGAAGGCTGAGACAGGAGACTGGCTTCAGCTTGAGCCTTGGCAACGCAGCTTGACCCTGTCACCAAAAAGAAAAGAGGGGGAGGAAGAAGAGGAGAGGGGAAGGGAAAGAGAACAAGAAGGAAGAGCAAACAAAGAAGGAGGATGATGGGAAGGAGGAAGTGGAGAAGAGGCAAGAGGAGGGGAGGGAAAGGGAAGGAGACGAGATGAGGCCTTAAGGAGGCGATCAGACCATGCACAAGAGCAGTGCCCTCGTGAAGTGGATCAGCCAGAGGGGCTATCCGCTCTTTCCGCCAGGTAAGGGCACAGCAAGAAGACTCCCATCTATGAAGCAGAGAGGTGCCTTCACCAGACACTGTGTATGCTAGAGCCTTGACCTAGGATTTCCCAGCCTACTACAACTATGAGCAATAAATTTCCATCACTTAAAAATTCCTCAGTCTAAGGTCTTTTGTTACAGCAACTCAAAAAGACTAAGGCAGAAATTAGTACTAAGAAGTGGGGATGCAGCTATAACAAAAACCTAAACATGTGGAAGTGACTTTGGAACAGGGTAATGGGCAGAGGCTGGAAAAACATTGAAGTGCAAGCTAGAAAGAGTCTCTGCTGTGGGAACAGACCATAAAGAGCAATTCTGGTGAGGGCTCATAGAGGAGCAGTAGAGAAAGCCTCAACCTCAGAAACTGCCTGAGACGTGGTGGCAGACTTACAGCACATGTACCACAGGAAGCTGTCTGTTATCACTGAAAGCTCTAAAAGGTTCACTACCACTGGCCTAAGAGGTCATGGTAGAAATAAGAACAGTAGCAGCGTTCTGATGAGGCCTTGGTGGAAAGGAGCAGCATAGCTGGAAACTGGAGGAAAGGGGATCCTTGCTGGAAAGTGGCAATTATCTTGGCCAAATTGTGTTCATGTCTTAGTGTCTTGTAGAAGGTGGATATTTGGGAGAAGAAATTCTAAAAGTGTTCAAGGTGCTGCATGGATTCTCTTGAATGCTGTAGTAAAATGTGAGAACAGGGACAATTTACTACCAAAAGAGAAGGAGAAAAACTAAAGATTCGAAAACTTCTCAGCTTATCCTGTTTCAAGATGACTATGGCCACCCTCCATACAGCACTAACTCTGCAGGGACATAGGGCCCAAGAGCTGTGGAAGAATGGCCACCTCCATCTAGATTTCAAAGGATGCTGGAGAGAGCCTCAAGGCTTAAACAAAGAACTGCCACAAGGGCAGGGCTACAGAGAGTGGTACTAGAGTGTGCTCAGTGGAGCCACGGGGAGCTGTAGGAGCACTGGGAATGGAGACCCCACTGACGAAATACCTGGTAGAGCTGTGGGGCCAGTCCAAGGGCCCAGCATGCAACTCTAGCCAGGGAGAGTGTAGGCATCTGACTCCACCCCATGAGAGCTGCAGCGTGGGCCATAAAGGAGGGAAATCTCAGCACAGTTTCAGTGGGTCCAGAAGGTGGGACATCCGTCAAGAATTATTTCTTCTCACTTTGGGAATGGGAATGTCTGTCCTATGCATGTCCCACAACTGTATTTTGGAAGCATATAATTTATTTCACAGGTTCATAGTTGGGGGAAAATCCACCCAGGATGAAATGTTCTTGAGTATTACCCATATCTGATTTAGATGTTACTTAGACCATACTCTGGATTTAAGACTTTTTGTACTGATGTAAACACTTTTGAGGCTGTTGGGACAGAATGAATCTTGGGGGCCAGGAGTAGATACATGGAAACCCAATCCTCCATGCAATAGGACCAAAAGGTGAAGGCTTCAGGAGATAATTACGGAATAAGGACAGAGCCCTTACTGAATCTGCCAGAGCCTTGATCCTGGATCTCTCAACCTTTGGAACTATAAGCTATAAATTTCTGTCATTTATAAATTCCCCATTTTGAGGTGTTTCAGCATTGCAGCCTGAACAGACTCAGACAGCCCTTTCATAAGGAAAGATAGAGTTTAAGATAACTTTGATTGTGGACAGTTTTAAAATGTAAAATTAGAATTTGGGAGTGAGTGGTTGATAACCACATGGGAGTCGTGCAGCACAGCAGTGACAGTGGGACCCTGGAAACTCCTCTCCGGAGGCACAGGGTATGGAGAAAGCAGAGGGAGAACTCATGGGACAGATGCTCTCAAGAGCTGGAAGGGAGGAAAAGTTAGCAAAGCTAATGGAAAAGCTGTGGTATTTAGTGACCACAGTTATGGAAAGAGCATCATTTCTCCATCATTAGTGCAAAGTGCTCCATTTTCTCAGAAAGAATTTTAGATTAAGTCTAAAAAAACCTATATTTAATCGCTTCTCAGCCTTTTGGCTAAGATCAAGTGTAAAAAAACCTATATTTAAAGATAGCAGCTGGTTGTGATGGTGCACACCTGTAGTCCTAGCACTCAGGAGAATGAGGCAGGAAGATTACTGTGAGTTCGAGGCCAGTCTGAGCTAACTATATAGTGAGACTCTGTCCCGGGGGAAAAAAGACTATCAACATGGTCAAGGAAGAAGTACAAAGAGGTTATGAACAGTTTGTAGGAGTCAAGGTTGGTACAAGAATGCAGGGGTCTCTAGAGAATACTTCATGGCTAGATTAATGCATCAAGTTATAAATCAACAAAGTGCAGGTGCAGTGACATAGTTTCCGTAAGTGTACTATGGATTGAATTCAGGAGTGCTCTACTACTAAGCTATATTCCCACCTACCTAATTTTTTGACACAAGGTCTTACTAAATTGCCCAATCTGGTCTCAGACTTGCCATTCTCCTGCCTCAGCCTCCTCAATAGCTAAGATTACAGGTGTACGCCACTTCACCCAGATGCCAGAAGTAACAGGGAAAACCAAGTTCCCAACATCCCTATTTTTCCTACATTAAGCTTTCCATGTGACAATTTTAAATACATATTTATTTCTATTACCAGTTTATTACTGTTTAATGCAAAACTTTTTCAGTAAAGTTAAAAAATTATCTGTTTAGATAATTCCATCACTGAGATAATGGTGGAGATAAAAGCCCAATATGATCTGATTAAGACAGTATTGTTGCTCAGTCTGAAAACAATGGTTATGTGGGGAGACACAACCTTCCTGCTGCAACAGCAGAAAAATGATCTTTCAACCCCAGGTCTTTCAGGACCAGGTGTGACCAGTTTCACGCAATGAGGTTCTAATGAAAGACCATTAAGACCTCTTTGGAATTAATACGTTCATTTTTAACATACAGATCCTGCTGTCTTGTGTTGTTTATACATTTAACATGCCACTATCCTTCCACCTGTTTTTCTCTTCATCATCTTCTCTCTTTAAACGAAAAACGATAATATTCTAGTAAACTGAGCTGGACAATTATGCACTAATTTCTCTTTATAAAATCCTCACGCTTGCCATACAAAACTATCAATTTTATGTCCTCGGTACTATTGAATCAAGAACAAATTCTAACGTTGGGGATGGCAAGGCTGAAAGTACACATGGTAGTTCTCAAAAGGACCGGTGGGGTCGGCATCAGGAAAAGCTCTGTTCTTACCTATCACAGCCTTCATCGAGATCCTGGCAATCACACAAACAAGCAGCCATGTGGTTTTTCTCCCCATTTCGATCTATGTATTCGCAGCAGCACAGGGGCTCCAATTCAGGTTCTTCGGTTTTCTTTTTCTTCACTGGCTTCATACTGCCCTTCGGTTTCGCACTTGTGACAAGGTGTGAAGCCCTCACAAGGTAAAGGTGGAAAGAATACAACTCACATCTTGTAAACACATCTACTCCTCTGATTAACGCCAACGCCTGAACAACCAAAAATGAGAAGAGGGGGAGGGTGTCGCGTTTTCATTAGGTTTTTGTGGGTCCGCATCATCAGACTGGGGGGGGGGTCCAGGCTGCCCATCACCCCCA